AGGTAGACAAGAATTCCCCTGGTTCTGATGTTGCTGCTGAAACTGCGGCTGCTCTTGCAGCTGCTTCTTTGGTGTTTAGAAGGTGTGACCCCACTTATGCCAAGCTTTTGGTCAGAAGAGCTATCAGGGTAAATATCTCTAACTAGAGCTAAATTGTCAAAATCTCAGTAAAAAAAAAAAAAGGTTGATTGTTCACGAATTCTGGGTATAACTTGCTGTCTTGTCTAGGTGTTCCAATTTGCAGATAAGTACCGAGGAGCCTACAGCAATGGGTTGAAGAAAAATGTTTGCCCTTTCTATTGCTCCTACTCTGGATATGAGGTGAAGTTCGCGCTTTTGAGTCCTTCATTACGACTTACAAGTCTTATTCTTTTGAAGAGGGGTTCATAAAACTTATTCTCCTCCTGGGTATACAAAAATGGCAGGATGAGCTGTTGTGGGGCGCTGCTTGGCTGCATAAGGCGACCAAGAACCCAACTTATCTCAATTACATTCAAGTTAACGGCCAGACACTTGGAGCTGCACAGTTTGACAATACCTTTGGTTGGGATAACAAGCATGTTGGAGCGAGGATTCTTCTTTCCAAGGTTCCTTTTCTAGCTTCCATTTCTTTGTTTGCCAAGTATTGTATTTATGATCATCAATCAATTAAAATGATCGACATTGTCCTTGAATCTCAGGCCTTTCTTGTACAAAAAATGCAATCCCTCCATGACTACAAAGATCATGCAGATAATTTTATCTGCTCTCTCATACAAGGGGCCCCTTTCTCTTCAGCCCAATATACTCCAGGTCAAGCCCCCACTGTCCTGTCTCTAATTTCCCACGATAATCGTGGTGCCATTTTCCTAAACGGCTAGTTTTGGTTTTATCCTTGCTTCGCAAATAGGTGGTCTGCTGTTCAAAATGAATGACAGCAACATGCAGTATGTGACTTCCACTTCATTCTTGCTCTTATCGTATGCCAAGTACTTAACCTATGCTCGCAAGATTGTAAACTGTGGTGTGACCGCTGTCACCCCGAAGAGGCTAAGAAATATTGCAAAGAAACAGGTACATAGAATAAAACCATCCTCAAAGGTATCTTGATCTCTTGTTAAGATGCTTATTTATCTATAAAATTGTCATCAGGTGGACTATCTGCTAGGAGACAACCCATTGAAAATGTCCTACATGGTGGGGTATGGTCCAAGGTATCCACAAAGGATTCACCACAGGGGCTCATCACTACCGTCCATGGCTGCACACCCAGCAAAGATCCAATGCTCCTCGGGTTTCAGTGTAATGAATTCTCAATCCCCCAACCCGAACATTCTTGTGGGTGCAATAGTTGGAGGGCCAGACGAACACGATAGGTTCCCAGATGAAAGATCAGACTATGAGCAATCCGAGCCTGCTACTTACATGAACGCACCCCTAGTAGGGGCACTGGCTTATCTTGCTCACTCATTTGGCCAGCTCTAAGCCCTGGCAGCATCTCCAACTTGATAGGCTAGGTGACTCTGTTCCTCGTTTCTAGTTCCTCGTTTTTAGTGGGTTGTTTTTATGCGTCCTAAAATACATCTCTAGATGTGAAGTTGGTTAAAGGGATCAAGAGACCTTAAGGCTCGAGCCCCAAACCTTGAAGCACATTGGTCAATATGCTCATCTCTACCTTGTATTGTTTAGTTTATTTAATACCTTCAATCTATGGTGCGAGTGCCATTGCCGTGCCCACAGCGGCGTTTGTATGTAAAGGCCGAATATGGTGGCCCTAATAGGATAGCCGTTGGGCTTCTTTTATTTTTTAGTTATGTGAGTCCGTTTTGGAACTTGCATTATGTCCACTAGTGTTTAACTTGCGAGAACCTTTCGACTATTACTCTCCCTCTCTCCTGAGCTTTTTTTTTTTTTTTTTGGTGTCCATGGCTCAACGCTTAAACAAAAGAGTAAACTGGATTAAAAGTTGGGGAAAAAAATGAGATGACAAAGGGGTTGTAGTTGCCCTTGAAACTAACGACTAACACGCAAAAAAGCTGGAGAGGAAAACCAAAGAAATTACGATTTTTCTTTTTTTTGAAAATTTGCGTAGTTCGTTAAAAAATTTGAGAAATAATCCGAAATAAATATTTGAAAAATAATATAGTTTGAATATAAAGTTAGATTAGAGTATTATTTTTGTATACAACTGTCATTTAAAATGGTTGTTGTATTTTATAATTTATTTTGAAACATTTTTTTTGAAAAAAATTAATAAATGTAGATAAAAATTAACTAAAAAATTTATTAAGATACAAATAAAAGTAGAAGAAGCCATATGTGATAGGAGATAGAAATGAAAAAAAGAAGAAGAAGAAGAAATAATGGGACATCACAGACATGCTTTTATTTTTAACATACCTGACATTATTAAATTTTTTTTGATAATATAATTTTAATCACACATTAAAAGAACATTTAATAAAATTATAATTAACTTAAAAAAAACCCACAATAAATTATATAATTATATGATGATTTTCTAAAATGTTATTAGAATTGTTTAATTAAGATTTTTTTGGCGGTACAAGTATAAGTGTGTCAAAAACAGAGTATTTCTATTTATATTTTTATTATTAAATTTTAAATCTCATTTTTTAACCATTTTATCTTTATAAAAATTGGATTAACATTTTATACATATTAATTAAATTAAAAAAATAGTGTTTATAATCACTATCATTAGGCATAGCGGTCGTATTAAAATTATATTCTTTTAGTTGTATTCAACAGCTATTTTTATCAGCGGTTATATTAAGCTATTTTTTAAATATTTTTTTAACATGTGTCTGTGGATGATGGTCCAAATGAATGACCTTTGCAGTTGATGTGACCCTTGAAAAAAGGAGAGCAGGCAAGAAAGTGTGCAGGGAGGGGCACGTGGTTCTGTTTGGGGGCAGGGCTTCCTGTGGTCAAAAACACTTTGTAAGCGTTGCAGACTCGTCAGATGGGTGTCAGGAGTATCTATGCCATGCCATAAGAGACTTGTTAACGTATATTTTTCCATAAAGGCCTATAGCCATGGGGCAGCCCTTGATCTGGTTACAATGTAGCGGGACCACCACATCATCATCGCCTGCGCGGGAGAAGGAATTAAAGGGACCAGAACACATTCTTCCGCTCTTCAAGGCCGTTCACAATTATCGCTCTTCTTGGCTCATTTAAGGTGACTCAGTTACAATTTATTGCAAAATAATTTTTATTTTTTTGTATTTTTTATTATTAATAAAGATGATCGTGAAAAATATTTATATGTTTGTTTAAATTGAACTTGATTTCAGTCAACAAATTAAAGTTGATCAACGAAATGTTTATTATTAAAAACACATTCTTCCGCTCTCCAAGGAGGTTCAAAATTACTGCTGTTCTTAGAGGCGTCTTTAGTCGTGATTTCTCGATGCCTGGTTCTTGTAAATTCACCGCAAGACCATAGAGGTGGTAATGTTCGGATTTGTTTTTTTATTTTAAAATTATTTTTAAAAGAATTTCAAATTTTTTAATTTTTTATTTGAAATTAATATTTTTTTTAGTATTTTAGATTATTTTGATATGCTAATAATTTTTTAAAATAAAAAATATTATTTTAATATACTTTTAAATAAAAATACTTTAAAATATAATTATTTTCCCAATTACAACAATCATACCAATCGCATCCATCTTATTCCAGCTGAGCCAAATCATCTCAGCGGTAATCTTGGAGACCCTAACGACTTGCAAGCACGAGGGTAGTCAAAATGTTTTAAAAGCTACCTTGGATCCAAAAGGCAAACCTCTTAATTAGAACATGAATCCATCAACATATTATATTATACATTGTATTAAATGTTTAACAACACGCGCTCTATCGGAACATATTATACATTCTGTTAGATGTTTAATAGCACGCTCTCCGTCGGTTACTTTCTTTTTAAAATTTATACGCATACTTGTGTTTTTATATATAAGAAAATTTTAAGAGTAATTGAAAAAAGTTTTATATATATATCTATAAAATTAAATAAATAAAAATAATATATATATATATATATTAAAATATTTAACCTTACAATACATGTATTTAATCTTAATCTGATTATATATAATAATTTTGTTTATTAAAATAAATTTTTTATTTAATTAAATAATAAAAAAATAAATATGAGATTAATTGAATAAAATAAAATAAAATAAAAAATAATATTACAAATATTAAAAATAATAACTAATTTTTTAATTAATGTTTTTTTCACATTTTAAAAAAATCAGTTTAACCCACGGCATAGCACGTGGCAATGTCCTTGTCTACTAGCCAAAAGTAATCGATACTTTTGTTGTTTCAGACAAGACATAACACATGTATCTCCCAAGCGGGTAAGTGAATCCTTATCCAAAGATAAGTTGACATGTCAAAATCCTATTCGCTGTCCATCTAACAACAGATAAAACTGCAAAAATTGGGCCTTCATACCGAATGGTTGCTGGCAAATGGTACATTGGGCTTATTACATTTTATTTTGAGAGACACAGGTGATCTAGCAGTGCCTCCTTCAAGGAAGTTCGAGCGATGTAGGGAATTGCTGGAAAGCATACCTACTAGCACTGGCCAGAGTGCAAGGAACTCTCGGAGAATCAATTTGTTCACAACAGCTTGGATAGACTAGTTTTCTTAACTAACATAAGATAGCTGCGTATATCCTTGTACGCGATAGAACTTTGTACATGCCACCCACAAGGACAATTTTTACTGGGAAACAGTGCTACATCTGGTTCATGGGCTTCGCAGTTCCTCGAGAAACAATAGCTGAATGTTGGTCCTCGATCGACAGATGTACAGTTTCACCTGAGACGGAAATGGAGCGTCGACATGATATTCTAAATGTTTGGGATGGTACTTGAATAGAACACAGAATTAACCATTCCAGAATTCCATACATAGCGATCAAACATAACAGAATTTTGTCAGTAACATCTGGTCGTCACTTTGAAAACAAATAGATATCAATGTCGAGTTAATATGAATTTTGGAAACTTTAAACTATCCAAGATTGCATTTGAAGAGCCAGAGCCACAGCTATGAGACCATGTTTCTTCTGAAATGATCACAGTAAACTAGCCAGATTGCCAATTACGCTATCTTGATAATTATTTAAAAATGGGTCAAGCACTCACCGAATCACGAATTTGAGAATGTAGAACATCTCGAGATATCTTCGAGTCTGAGCCTCTCAAGTTTGCTTCCAAAAACTATATGCCCCCACCTAACTCATTAGCCTTTCAGAGTAAATCTTCCATGTATATCTACAGTATCAGGAGATCTAAGTGAGCCTCAGAAAGCACAATATAAATGGTTTCATGACATTTACAGATTGAGATACCAGCCTTTCATAAATCCGTTGAAGCCCAGCATCAGATATTTTTTTTTCCAGTAGCTTGGATCCTCCTTGCACTTTTCAAAGAAAAATGCCATGAGTGCAGCAGCCTGGTCAGGATAATATGGAATCCTGATAGACCATGCCCAATAATCTCAGCAGGACCACCGTGGCAACCGCAAATGTTGGGAGACCGCAAGTCATAGCCTCCACTACAGTGAGTCCAAAGGCTTCATAAAAAGCAGGCTAAAATAGAGACCACAGGGGAAGGGGGTTGTGAAGTTAATTATGGTTCCTGTGGAAATCTTTAACATGATGAGAAACCACAGTAGCACCTTACACCTGCACAAAGGCTCCCTTGGTGTCTGCTATGTAGCGATAGAGCTCACCATTGCGTGCTTGATTCGTTTGGGCTGTTTTTGCAGTGAAATTGTCCATCCAAATTGTATTTCTTCATAAGTGCATGCATCCTCTCAATCTCATGAATTTGTTCCCTGTCTTTGGACTTCTTAACATCAATATAATCAGCTACTATGTCAAGGTTTACCTGCTCCCTCAGTTCAGTATTCTTATCACAGCACTCTACCGACCCTGTCATGTTCTAGCTTCGGTCCAGCCTTGCCATGGAAAAAATTATGGGCTTTGACCAATCGGTCAGTGTACCACTGCAGTAATATAAATGATCAACCATTTAAATAAACATGCGACCCTAATCCTGATCTCCATATTCTAAATTTCCAGTTTTATCTTTGAATATTGATCTCGTTGGGAAACACAGGAAAATACTCACTTCACATCCACTTATCAGTCTGCTCAGGATCATGTAGCATCTTTTATATTGAATTGTGTACGGCTGCAAGTCTTTCCTGCTTGTCAGAGCATGGGAAGTATATGGCCATATCAGCCCCCATGAGAGACAATATTGAACTTTGGGTAAAATACATCAATGACATGAACAACCCGATATAGCCCTGGAAGGGTGAAAACAGTGTGGCTCTCATACTGACCAACATTGGTCTTCCTGAAGCAACAAGAATACAAGTGAAGTGGTTGTTGAACAATGAATGTTGGATAGATCCCTCTTTTGAAATTCACCAACAACACGTACATATCTTATCCCAGATTCTTAGTTCTTCCCTCCAACTATCATTGGGTTTGCCGTGGCTATATAATGGAAGCATTGGTCTAAATGATCCTCCTATACTGGATTTTGCACAATGTATATTCTAAAAATGCACGGTCTTCCACATGAACTGTTCAGTTCAGATAAAGAACAGATGGGCTTTTCCCTCAAGGAAGCCTTCAAACACGCACCGACAGAAGTACATATGCCCCTCTGTAGAGTAAAGATAGATTCCGAATATATATATATATTTGCAGTATCACCTAGAGTGGCAACCGAAAGCAAAGCAGAACAATGCAAATCTCTTATATTTTCCACCACTACCTTTTGTTTCTACCATGCCAAACCATGGGCAGCAGGCTCTTTTCCTTAAGTCCTAATTCACAACACATTTTCTATTTGTAAGCTTTTCATAAGAACCACCAACTGCTCCAACTATTGACTCTAGAGCTAAGGAAACCTATAAGGTCGGTCAACTGGTCAAGATAATAGAAGATCTTGATTCTGAAAGTTATCTGTGATGGAATAATAACTTTGTGTTACAGAAGGTGTAGATTTTTACGACTAAAGGGAGTTGAAATGTGTCCCATGCCTTGTCATAATGCCAAAGAAATTCAAGGGGTTGAATTTTATCAACCAAAGGGAGTTGAAATGTAACCAAAGGGAGTTGAAATGTGTCCCATACCTTGTCATAATGCCAAAGAAATTCAAGGGGTTGAATTTTATCAAGTATAGTTGCATATAATATTTGGCAAAGAAATTCAAGGGGTTGAATTTTATCAACCAAAGGGAGTTGAAATGTAACCAAAGGGAGTTGAAATGTGTCCCATACCTTGTCATAATGCCAAAGAAATTCAAGGGGTTGAATTTTATCAAGTATAGTTGCATATAATATCTGGCACAATGACTGAGGTAATCCATGATGAAAAATTCACTTCTTTCACAAGTGCATAACTGGTGCATCATAGATCAATTCTTGATAAATTAAATATTGATGAAAAGAATTGAAAACAATAATTTAAAAAAATGACCTAAACAAAAGATCAAAGTTAGCCTGTGTTAACTTTCAAAACTCGAAACCCTAGTCATAAGCTTAGACTAACATCATAGAAGGCAAACCTAAAATATAACTGAGCAAAATTTCAAATCATCAAAATACTAAGTAGTGAAATTGAAAAACAAAAATGCAAAAAAAAATTAAAAACAAAAGAAATAATAATTAAAAAAATAAGGATTAAATTTGATATAAAAATAATTTGAAATCAAATATTGAGGAATGAAATTAAAAACAAGATTCAATTAGGAAAATGATTACAAATAAACAAATAGTATTAAAAAAATAAGGATCAAATTTGATATAAAAATTAAATAAAACTAAATGATGAGTGGCATAATTAAAGAAAAAGATAAATAGAAAAGGATAAACAAACAAAACAATAAACAATTAAAAAAACGAGGATAAAATAAAAAATAAAAAATAAATTAAAAGACAACTTTATATTTTGATAAGAGAAAGAGAGAGAGAAAAAAATCAATCAGAGTCTAACCATTATGCTTTCGTAGGCACACACAACACCAATGGAAAACATAGGGTGATTCATTTCCAATGTTACTTGACAAGATTACATTTCATGGTGCCCTGTACGTGTCAATAATATTTTTTTAATAATATTTATATTATTTAAAAGATCAAATTGCCCCTTGTCAACATATTAATTAAAAAAAAACTAATATGAAAAGATGAAAAAAACCTATTTTTGTAAGTTTAACAATTTTTACGTGTAAGATTAATATAGTTTTTATATCATGCTGTTAAAATGTATTAAAAAATCAAATTAACTTGTGTAATCTTTTGAAATATTTTGCTTGTGATGACAATATAGTTATTATATTGTGCATTTAAGAAGAGAAAAAAAAAATCTCCAATTAATATCATAGTATCAAATGATTTTTTTTGAAAATGTTATTTTAGCCCTAATTTTAAGACCATTAATTTTTTTGTTAAATTGGGAGACTTAGTAAAACATAATGAAACTATATTAATGTAAAACAATTAAGGCTTTAAGTTACCGAAACTGAACCTAAAATAAATATGGTGTGACCAGGGTAAATGAATTGGAAGCTTTGTAGTGCATATGATGTATGCAACATGTGGAAGCAAGCCATCTCATTTTAAGCACGTGTGACTTGCTATGATATCAAAACACCGATTTCCTAGGTGGCATTGGAAGCGACATGGTGGAAACTGTCAGGTAGTGCAATATATGTTTGATTTCGTGGCCTATAGGGACATTTTTTTTGTTTTTTTTTTCTTTCTACTCCTTTTTATGTTCTTTCTACTCTCCCTAAGATTCGTGTTGATATGTCAAAAAGATAAAGATGTCATGTCATTTTATTTATATTTTAAATTTAATCGTAATTATTTTGATTGAAAGTTTTTGCTTTAACTTATTTTTTTAAAATTAATCTTATTCTTTGATATTAAATTGGTTTAGAATTGAGTTTTATGATTTTTTTATGAAATTATTCTGATCTCATGACCTGAGTCATATACTTGAAAAGTTAATTTGGGTTGATGTTAATCTTTTTTCTTATATCTTTTTTTAATAATGTTTTTTTTTTCAATTCAATCCTTAAACATTGAATTTATTGGACATTGAACTTCATGATTTTCTTTACTTTTCTTTCAATGAGGTTATTTCGATATCATGATATAAGTCGTAAGTTTAATAAGTTAGCCTAGGTTGATTAGGTCTTTTTGGGTTTTTTTTTTAAGAATGAATATTTTTCAATTTCTTCATTATTGAGTTAGTTTGATAATTGAGCTTCATAATTTTTTTCTATTTTATCTTCTATTAGGTTATCCCCTTCACATGATTTGGCTTGTGGGGTTTAATAGACTTATCTGGGTTTGTTGTTGTTTTTTTATTAATTATTTTTTTTATTTTGTCCTATATATAGATTGTTGTGGATTGAACATCATAATGTTTATAGATGTGTTTTTTATAAGGTTATCCTAGCTATAAAACCTGAGTTACAGGTTTGGTATATTGACTTGGATTGACTCAAGTTGTTTTTTGTTCTTGTTTTATTTCACTTTCTTCATTGAATGTTGGGTTATTTAGGAATTGGTCTTTGTTTTTTTTTTTTGGCAAGCATTTCTATGTTATCATGATTTTTTTTAAAATTAGTTAATTTATTGTTATTACATTTTATTTTTGTCGTGAAATCAAATCCAACCTCTTAGTTTTCATACTTCTTAAAAATATACTAATATCGCTTGAACATTTTTTTTCTTCTTTATATGTTAAAAAAATTTAACCAACGCGCAGCGTAATGCTTTCCACTTATGTAGTAAATGTACATAAATAATCGTTGTTGGAATTCTGCATGCAAAATCTCATTCTAATATTCGAATAGACTCCTCAATTGTTGGATTAAGAGATTGTTTGATATGATTTATAAAAATGACAATTCAATCTTACTTTTTTCATATATATAATAATTTACATTTCCTTGAGTCAGTGGGGATGGCAAGAAGTTGATGGCGGTTTGTTACACATAGTTCTGATCAAGAACATGGCAAGAAGTTGATGGCGGTTTGATACACATAGTTCTGATCAAGAACCATTGGCGCAGGATGTAACATTCCAAACGGATAAAAAGCCATTCAAATTTGACTTGTACAAAGAAAATAGATATTCCATTATCAACAGGCACAGATAATAATAGTAGATGCTCTCTGCAGACTATGGTATATTCTAAATATAACAGCCAAAAGAAGAGGAAGAGAGGTTGGTTGGCTGCGGAGGAATCTTCTAATTTTATCCTTCGATTCTCAAAATGCAGTCAATTAAGGACTTTATTTTGTTGAATTCACTAATTGTTCCGTAGAAACATAATCTAAACACACTAGGCACCCACTCAGGCTGCTGATGAGCTAATTATAAACTAATTCACCACCTTTTACTAATGTATTCCTCCTAACTTATCTGAAATCTCTGCACTTTGCAATATCATAAGATAGGATCCTTAGCAGTACTGCTAAAAAGAAAAAAGAATCCTTGACAACAATGACAGAAGATCCATGGTACAGGGCCAAGTGTACTCCCACTTAGAGTTTTTAACCATTTGTCTCCAAATCCAACTTCGGCAAGAATCCTCTTATAACGTGATGCTTAACACTGAGTTCACGCTGGCAAGGCACAATAAATCTCCTGATCTTTGTTGAATGATTCTGTCTTACCTAATCACTGACGCCATAATTCTCCAAGCATAGCCAGTCCTTCCAATCTCTCTGTAGACGTGTTTATTAGTTAACGAGTTGCTAATGGAGCCTGCATTTTGCCCTTGCCGCCTCTCCCTCTCTTTACGAAAAAGGGTGGCACTTATTAGTAGTGCTCTTGCCATTTTCACTGTGATAATGATGAGCTTGTACAACGTCTATTATATATGATATTTTCCCACTCTTTAAGAAAATTTTATTCTTATTTCCCAGCAACAAAACAACGAAAACCAAACAGCGATCGGCCAGGGGAGAGAGAGAGAGAGAGAGAGAGGAGAATGATCCACCTCATCTCCTAACTAGCGCGTCTTTCGACTTGAATACAGGAAAAACCAGCTATTTAAACAGAAAGAATACATCTCAAGACACTTGTCCAAAGCACTGACCAAGCTTGTCCGTGTCGATGGAAGTCACAGTGCACTGAATAAATTAAGGCCACTAAAACCCATAAAACATTAAACCTTGGAGAGGAAAATATCAATTGGCTACCCGCAATATGTTATAATTGATGTAAGAATTGAAATTTGATGTGAAAATGTATTTTAAAATTCTAAAAAAAAAAGAAGAGCTGCCGAGATATTTTTTAGGGGGGGCTGTGTACGGCATGCTTGCAGGCGTTCACGGCGTGAATCTCCGAATTTTACTCCGCTGCACGTCATTTAAAATTAAAATCCAGAAAGGAAGAGTTCCACCTAGAAATTACCAAGACAAATTTAAATTTACATTTGCATAAGCAAAAGAAAAGTATATATCTTTTATGGAACGGCATTCATTTTGTGTGGCCTTCCGCTGGCTAAACGAGACAACTGTCCCAGTCTCTCTCTCTCCATCTCTAGATTATCTCTTCAGCTCCTTCCTTCAAATTCCATCGCTTATTTTTTCTCTGTCCAAAATTCAAAACTTTCGCATTTACATAAACCACCGCTACGCTTGCCAGATTCTCTTACTTTAACAAGACAGCAGAGATTTAAACCCCTTAAAGATTCCTTGCTCTATAAAATCAAACGCCAGCGCTTTCTCCCTCCCTCCCTCTCTCTCTCTGGTAATCTCGAACCAATCAAGTGCCGATTGAGGCGCGGAGTATGTTTGCCTGTAAACTCTTAGAAC